TTCCAGTGACTGCTTTTTTAAAAAATTCCTCTTTTTTTTTTTTTTTTTATAAACACCTTGATCAATTCCCTTCTCTTGTTTGCCAAAGCCTCTTAGTCAAGTAGAAAAGTTCCAGCAGTGGTGAAAACATATTTATCAAACAGGATCCCCCCCCCCATAAAAAATAGATAAATGCAAAATGTTCTCCAGATGCAGAGGTTGTTTAAATATGATATAACAGCATCTGAGATGAAGAGTGCTTTCTCTTCATAACATTCATCACATAATGTATAAACATGAGTCCAAATAGCATTACTTATTTCTCTTCTGCTGAAGATACTCCATTTTGATATCTGGCACTGATTTGATTTACACAGCAGATTTGTCAAAAACCACTGACCGAAACCATTAGCAAGTACCATTAGTCTTTCAGATGTGGACAGCACTTCATATTTAGAACTGCAATGCCTCTGCGACTTTGATTCACCACCAGCCAGACTAGATTTCTTTTGAGATTCTGGAGGCCGTATTTATTTACTACAAATATAATGTGTCTCTTGGGAACATAGCCAGTTATTGAACAAGTAGGCCATTATTGACTGAGCTTAACCCAAGATGAAGATTGTAAAACTGTACGCTCCCATTTTTCACTCTCTGCCACATTCAGTCTATGACCATATCTCTATCTGGAGGTGATTTTGCCAGTGACCACCTGTGCTGGATTAGGCTGTGCTGCATAGTTACTGTTCTTGTTATGTCAAAACAACAAGAAAGCCACAAATCATGAGTTTTGGTCAAAGGGTCATAAAAGAGATTTGCCCCTGAAATTTTTTTAATCAAATATTCAGAAATATAATTTTGTGTGTGACTTTAGTTAGACACCCTGAAATTTGCCAGCAACTACTTGCATAACTGAAAATGGAAAGAAACCAAGGTCAAGTTAGGTTTATCCAAAATGTTTGACATAAATGTTTCAGCTTCATTTGTCAAAACAAACACTCTTTTTGTAACACATCGAATGCGATGCAATGGAAACCTTTATATTTGTTTAACAACTTCTAGTGGGAGAGAAAGGAAAAAATAAATGGAAGAATGAAAGGAGGAAAACTGAGTTTGCAAATTATAGATTATGTTCAAAAAGCAAAATACAACTCCAACAGATTATATAATTACAATTGATGTGAATTAACAATTTCATAGCTGACTGTTACTTATGGAAGGTAGATTCAGCCAATTTTTAATAAATGTATAAAATGGCAAAAATAAAAACCAAATTACGCATTTCATTATTGAAGGGTTCACAAAGTATGTAACAAAAAAAAAAAAAGATTTTTTTTCTATTTTTCATGCACTGAAAATGCAACAACCCTGTTTAAATTAAAGAAAAACAAAATGCAATTGATGATTTGATATCTGAAATTTAGTTAAATTTATTTCCCTTTTATACAGCAATATAATAGCAATTATATATATATATATGGTTTTCAGTTTTTAAGTCACCCTGTATGTAAAGTCATTTATTTGATTTAATCAGTAGGTGGGGCTCATGTTTGAATGTTTGGTATTGTTCTATTGTGTTAAACTTTCCTGGTTGCAGTTGCTCTTGACATCAGCACTGACACTAGCAAAAACTGCTGTCATTGTTACAGCCCAAATCAAGGAGGATAAGGATATTACACTGCACAATGCCGTTGTTCGTCAGTGTACAAGTTCAAACATGTTTTATTAGTTTTACTTTTAAAGTCAAATACAATACTGACCATTGAAATGTACTAGAGGGAAAGTAAAACTAGCATGTAAACATTCAAGTATGGTACTTAAAAATGTACTGAAACATTACCAAGTAAAGCCATAGAATCCGTTTGTGGCTGTAAAGGTAAAACCACACTGTCAGGGAAAATAATACAATGTTATTGAGATATCAAACATCAAGACCAGCAGGCCGCAGCATTTCAAGAAGCCAAGAAGTTGACATAACTCCTCAGGTGCAATTATGAATAGGGTGTTATTCCAACAGATTGTGTAATGAAAGGTATGTCATGAAAGAGCACACAGAGCACTTTTTAGCTATTTCTCTCCAATATGTCTGTTGAAATGGAGTCTGGATTTTTAAGAAAAATCCCTTTTCTTTTAATGATTAACACATCAATACTGGATGACCCATAATAACAATGGCAGCTAATATTAAACACATTAAGTGACAGAGAAATGTTTGATTTTCTTTTCTCCCTTTTTGTTTGAAATTAACATTCCAGGTATCTGGCGTACAGAGATAACGTTCACTCTGACTCATTTTTCATTCTGAGCTCAAGTATGTTTTTGCCTCAACAGAACAGCTTCTTGGCACGTTACTGAACTGTAATATACACTCAGACATACTGTCATCTGATGTTTGGAGCTGTTGCCTAGGAAACAGTCCACGCAGCTCTGCTTTGGAGCGAGTGGAAAGAGTCTGGAAGCAGGAGTTCATCTCCTTTATGTCACTGAAGCAGCAGCCCACAGATGAAATGATGAAGAGCGCTAACCGTCACAAATGATGGTCTGATTCTGTCATCATTCAGATATACTGAGCTAATCCTACATAGACGAGCCAAACTCAAACTGATATACAAGTTTAAAACTTGCTTTAGACATACTGCAGCTCAGGTTTTTAGAGATGTCATTCAGGAACAAGCCCAAAGGTTAGTATAAACAATATTTGCCTTCTGGAATTTCTCTATTTGATACTTACTTTTCTGTTTCTGTTATATACTTTCTTTGTACCAATATATAGTAGTAGTGCAAAATGTCTTCGCTAAGTTAAGCAAGTGTTGTACAATTAATGGTCAAGTGTGTAAATTCTTTCCACGTGTAGAACCAACCAGATCAGCAAAAACACTACTGTTTGCAAATACTCCTCCGGTCTGCCACTGCTTGGACAAACAAGTAACCTCACACCATTGGTTGATCAAATATTATGATGTTGCTCAGACTGCAATTCCATTTAGTGCCACAAATAGCACAGAAATTACACGTCACCTTAAAGTCCTTTTTTTGTGTGTGTTCTGTTATTTCATGAGAATGCGTCCAAGTATTTTTTATTGCAGTTTTCCATTGCATGTTGGAAAGCAGATGGAAAACTCAATCTAACAAATTACAAAATTTCACCACGATAAGAGTGATATTTTCCAGAGTCTCTACACAATGTCCAGAATGAGCTTAAAGCTCTTGTAGTAGTAATAAAGTAAATTTGAAGAATAGCCTATGCATTAACCAGGGCTGTACAGTGCGACATATACTGTATGTCGCACGTGCTACGAAAAAACTGGTCTGTGCGATGAATAAATTTACCACTGTAGCACGCGTGTGATACAGTTTTGCATGTTCATAACACAGCCGCTTAATAGTGTGAAGTGATTTCGTTGTGCTTGTTTGTGTGTGTGAGATTGATTATACTTGGTAGTTAGGGGTGTGCGATATGACGATTTTTGATCGTGGACGATGAAAATGTCTCCACGATCTGCTTTTGAAGAAATATCGTGCTACAGCGCACATTCTATCAGCTGCAGTTCTGGCGCCTCCCTCCGTCTCAATATAATGTACAACGCCGTAAGCCACATGCATTCACATCAGTGTTAGCTCAGCGGTAGAGTTACTCTCACGGGACACTGCACTTATGCGCAATCACAAAACTACATTATTTCCATCTGCTTTAAAGCAATACAAATAAACATTTAAACATTTAATTCACGTGCTGTTCTGCATGCACTTTTTCTGAGCGTACTCATGAAGCGCGCTCACACTGAGAGCCTGTCAAAAAGCGCCTGATTATTGGACTAAGTTGTCTTTCGCGTCTGATTGATTTTGCATCTAATACAGTTGAGAGAGAAACGTGTGCAGCTCTTAAAGGGACAGTAGCAACTAAACATGCTTCTGACTGTCATTAAAGGGATAGTTCACCCAAAAAAATTCTATTTCTGTCATTATTTGCTCACTCACATTTTGTCCCAAACCTGTATTCATTTCTTTCTTGTGCTGAACACAAAAGAAGATATTTTGAAGAATGTGAGTAACTAAGTTTTCAGACATGATAACAGACGTTTTATACTTGTGCTACAACTTTTTGGCCTGTGCTACAAAACTTTCAACCTCTGTAGCACCAGTGCTATGTGGAAAAAAAAGTTAACGTACAGCCCTGCATTAACAGTTCCAACATGTATGCTGAGTCACTTTAAGAGCAGATATTTTTCTATTCGGTGTGATCCAGCAGGTTTGACGCAAACCGGGAACCTCTCCTCCCTTCCAAGGATATGTTTGTCATCACGGCAGCCAAATGCTGCTCAGAGACAGTTGGAGGAGCATTCTTCATCATTTCACAACAACAAGCAGACAACAAGAACTCTTTGACATTTTTCACCAATGAGAAATGAGTGCTACCAGACAGAAAAATGCCATTCAGTAAACTAAGTCATATGGTTTATATTCTGAAGACGTGGCGTCACAATTCGGATTGTTTTGCGGTAAAACTTGGAGTTCTATAGGAAAAAAATATGATTTTTTTCACTAACAAATGACCCTCTCAAAAACAACTACTGACTTTGCAAATGGTCTCAGTCCTGCTTTCTACTATTGCCCTGTGATAACCATTATTGGCCCAAAGTGTCTGGATCAAAACCCAACAACATCACGCTAGGAAGTGAATCAGCCTGCCCCACAAAAAAAGATGCAGAAACAGTGTCCAGCCAAGTGTGGTCCTTCCCATCATAAATAAGAAAAATGTTTGAGGAGAAAGAAAGGCCTCACTAAAGCCACCAGGAGCAGTGACTAATGACACTAGCATGTGTTCACTTCCTCCCCAGTTGCCTAAAGCCATTGTGATTGCTTTCACAGACAGCAGAGCCCAGGCATAGTCCACCAACCAACTGTCTGACCTTTATAAAAGCTCAGCTGTGGGAGGAACCCTCCGTTTTACACTCACAAGCACAAGGGGGAACGTTTCAGATACAGAACAATGGAGTGAAATAGACGTTAAATACAATTGTATGTGCAAAATGAAAGAAAGGAGTCAATTACCAGCATCAATCACAATAGAATCTCCCATTTCCACCTAAAATGTTTCCCTAAATACACATCTTGCTTATTATGTGACTTCCAGATGAAGGAAAACTCCACAGATTTTGAAGGTCCTCTGAAGCTCTGGATGATACAATGAGTGTTTTAACATTCTAAGACCAACTGTGGCAAAACGGCAACATTTGTTTATACTGTATTTAGCAATTTAATATGACCTGTGCTTCACATTAAACATAAGCTGGGACTACATATAAGAGCTGTTTCATGGCAACCAGTTTGGCAGGAAAATATTTGCTTACTGTGCCTACTGATACCATTGCTGCCTATTTTGTGTAAATTATTACATTAAAAATATATAATACTGTATTTTAAACATGGCAGAAATGAAACAGTGGACTATTTAAACCACCAACTTTAATGCTATTTATACAACAGAGCCCATTTAGCAAACTGTAACTAAATATTCCAAATGATTTTAGTGTAGTCTAATGAAACTCTGCCTGAGCTTACTTAAAAACATACTAAAGATTCAGCCTTCTAGCGTACCAGGAAGGGTTTTATAGAGGTCAATACAACTGTACTTCAGGCCTCTAGCCTAAATATGCATTTTCAGGTATTTTTCAGGCAGGTCATTAGGGTCTAGGAAGATTCCAGGAAAATGGTGTTTACTTGCTGGAAATGCTTTGACGTTTTTGAGAAGCTTATGTACTCGTATAGTTAATTATAACAGTGGTAAAAAAATGTGCAACCTTTAAAGCCCAACATTGCAATTTTCCAATACTTCACCCCAAAACAAAATATGAATAAACGTCATGATTC